GTATATATATATATACTGTATATATATACATATATAATAGTGTCAACTATTTCAGAAAATGTAAACATGCAGCAGCTAAATAAACTAAATGAATCATTTCTGTTTCTTTTTAATGTTGATCAGAAAGTCAGACTCTTCCTGTCTAAGTTGGCGTTTCTTGGCCAGAATAAACTGGACTAGACTTCATGCTGATAGTTTTATCTTGAGAAATGAACATCAATAATCTATCACGATGTGTGTGTTTTCTGGAGAAGGTGTTTTGGCTCACTGAAGTGTTTGTGTTTCTGTGGAGGGTAGCGCAGCAGCACTCCTCTGATGAAGAGGATGAGGTGACTGAGGAGGATGAAGGGTGGAGGAAGAGCAGGTCGACTGTGGTACTCCTTAATCAGCTCGTAGCGCTGGAACTTCCAGATGGTGTCTGTGTTGTCTTGGACCTCCTGGAACGTGTAGCTGTGAGGCACAATGAGAGAGAGTTTAAAGCCCTGAAATTCACGGCCATATTTTATCATGCATCTTTTACAGTTTTGTACTTCGCAGATGACAAGATACATAATCAGGCATTTTAAGGTAAAAAAAATAAAATAAAGCAGTATAATATTTATAATATAATAAATAAAAAATATTATACATAAAAATATCAAAATATGCTTAAATTATATTAAAGAAAATAATATTTGAAAAAATATAAAAATAGCAAATAACCAGATATTTGCCAGCATAAATAAATACATAAACATTGTTAAATATTTAAATCTAATTCACTATTTTATCAATTTTACTGTGTCTGATAAAAAAAGATGTATTTTTAATTTATTTGAGAGCAAACACAAAAATATTGAGATGAAATTTGTTTTGTTTTGTACAGTCCTAAAACATTTGTTTGTGTTGTGCATTTTCATGCTTTTTACAGTTCCATGTCTACTGGAATCAAATATGAGTTAAGTCTTTCATAAAGACTGCTATTTGTATGATGCACAGAGCTGCTGCGTACAGTGTGCATGTACAGTAGACATCAAGTCAGCTCAGTAGGCTTTGGAAACAGAGTCGCTGTGCAAATGAAGCAGGTAAGTGTTTCTGGTCACCC